ACTGGTTGTGGCTATTGCAGTTAGTTTTATTGCGGACACGTCTCCTTCGGTCATGGGGTAGTCAGTTGTCATCGAGAGGCTCGGGTGTGTGACTGGTTGTGGCTATTGCGGTTAGTTTAGTTGCGGACACGTCTCCTTCGGTCATGGGCCATACCTTTTTAGTCATTGAATGGCTGGTTGTGTCAATACTGATTGTGACTATTTCAGTTAGTTTAGTTTAGTTGTGGACCCTACTTTTTTTAGACATTGAATGGCTCTAGTGTCAATACTGTTTGTGACTATTATAGTTAGTTTAGTTTATTTGTGGACCCTACTTTTCAGTTATTGGTAGTTATTTTAGTTCCAAAGAATCTTGGAAATTATTATTCCCGCGTACAAAGATTTATTACTCGGTATTTTTCAATATTCAATTGGTGTGACTTCGCGATGACTGGTTATGACCTTTGACTTCTCGATGAGTGGTCACGACCTTTGGTCACCGCCGGATAAAATAACTCTATCACTCTATCTCTCTAAAACCATATTTTCTGGTTTCTGTGTAGGGTGCACCCGTGTAAGTAAGACACAGGTTGAGATGGCTTCTTCCTCGCGTCGTGTAAGGAAATCTTTGCAAGAGTGGTCTTGCCGCAGGCCGCGGGAGTCAACTGATTGCATTGAAACCCTGGTAAGATCTAGGAACTACGCATCACATAATTTGTATCCGCTTTATATTGTAAAGAAGGGTTTTTTAAAAAATAAATCATCAAACATGTGATTCCCTTTGATGTATTGAGCCCCTCCGAGAAGATAGTGTTTCTCTTGACTCGAATTGGATACTTTCCGGTCGAACATTACATTGGTGATGATGGGAAACACCGATTCAAATCTGGATGGAAGGATTTTGTCGTTGCACACCAACTGCAACCAAAATTTGTTCTACATTTTAAAAAAATTGGGGAGTTTTGTTTATTGGTTACAGTTTTTGGCAAAGACAATTGGGTGACCTACCCCATTATGTTTCCAAATTATGATTCAGGTAAGAATATATGTATATGAATAAGTCACGAGTTTAGTCATAAATGAAAGATATTTTGTTGAATGATTCATTTTTTTTATTGTTTTGCAGGAGAGGATGATGTTGATATTGAAAGTTCATTTGTTCATAAACTGGAGGCGCACAATGTTATCCCCAAGGAGTCATATTTGGTTTGTTTGAATGTTTTTTCTTTTTAAATACATACCAATCGATTGAAATATCATTTAAGGTTTTTTAATGTCTCGTTTCAGGAGTTGCCAAGGTCTTTTTGCGCTGACAACGGAATTTCTGATGGGACAATGAAAATTAAGATTTATGGCCCGGCAATGTATCCCAATGAAGTCACCCTCTCTGTCAAGGAGAGTGGTTGTAGGCTCTCCAAAGGATGGCATAATTTTGTGGAGGACAACGGGTTAAGGCTTGGGGATAAGGTTGTGCTTACCTTCATTGCAGAAAATACAATCATTGTTTATGCTTATCGCCATCCTATGCTACCCAGGCTTACCAATTATTAAAACTATTTAACGCTTTTATATTTGGTGGTTGTTTTGTATATATTTTTAGTATGATTACAATCAATTCTAGTATAAACGCTACAGTCATATTTTCTTACAGAAATTGATGTTTTCTCAATCGTAGACCTGTTTTCAAATACATAAACCAAAATGGATTGTTTTGGAAGGGTCAGGTCGACCTTTATAAAATATCCATCGACCTTAATAAATTACAGTTGATTGCGTGTTATTCGGGTCGACATTTCGTTTTCATATTGATTGACTAAACCTTTAGTCGACCAAAAATGTCGATTAGGAAGTAGACCCGATTGTTATAATTGTCTATTTAAATCTAATATTTCAACTATTGAAATATTTTAATGAAGCAGTATTTAAGCTGTGTGGGCCATCGTCATTAATACACATACTTTATCTGTTGATATACCCTCATCGGTCACATCAAATCTGGAAAGAATATACGGAATATGAACAATAGTAGAATAATGAAGATTTAATAAAGTTTAACATGCACGCAACACATGTGTCTATGAATCTATATGTATTTGTCATCACAAGTGCCGTCACTACAATATGTAGATGCATTATATTTTCTTTTTGATGTTTAAAATTAGTAAAAAAGAAAATGATGAATAGATTTAAAATAAAAATTTATTTTCTAATTTTGTTGAACATATATGAAAAACGTCATATATTATTTTAGTGAGAAAGTCAAAAGATGTGGAGATGAAAAGAATATATGAACAATAGTAGAAAATAATTCCCTCTTGATCGACCCCTTATTCCGGTCGACCAATGTTGACTGGTCGATTTTAAATATTGCATCCAGAAAGTCGACAAAGAAGTGTATTTATTTTTAATTTTGNTCGTTTTTGGTGGTTTTACATGCTGGAGAGATAGACCATTGGCAGACCACTCCTCATATGCCGGTACTGGATATATTGTTTCTCCGTATGCTAGGTGGACGTGACCTCTGGTGTACCTAATATCACAAAGGTCGTACGCATTTATCTCCAGTTCCCTCGTGATATCATCCGTCAAGCATGCTAATGCATGAACGCAAGGAATTTTGTCCAGGTCAAATACGCGGCAGGTGCAAGTCTTTTGGTGCAAGTTCACAACATGATCTGATGTAACTCCTTGAACTTGAAATTCATGATTGCCCAAACTCATACTCGAAAGCTTCAAAGCAATAGGGTACCGCCTACGAAGGTAGGCTTCCACATCAGGAGTGAGCGGACTGCTAGAGTTTTGTAGAGCATTCAACTCTCTATGTCGTTTCCCCCGCCACTCGGCAGTCTTCGATAGCATTCCGCTCAACAATGCTAGGATGGGTAGTGTTCTGGTGTGTCGTAGGACGCTGTTAACGCTCTCTGTCCCATTTGTCGTCATTATATTATAACGGGTTGTCTTGAAAAAATCCCTTGCCCACCTTTCCTTCGGAATAGTACTTATGTACCTAGCCCCATTGGGATACCTGTCCTCAAATTCCTTAAAAATCCTATGAAAAGTCTTCACCGTGTAGGCATTTGAAAGACGATCAAATAGCTTTAAACCATCTTTGTTCTTCTTTCCTAATGGACCTTTTAAATTACAGTGAATATGATATTGACAGTACCTGTAGTCTGCCAGAGTATAATGTTTTCTCAAACCATTCTCGATGCTTGGATGCCTATCTGAAATGAAGACCAAATGTTGATGATCTTCGATTACTTGACGAAGATGACCGAAGAAATATGAGTAGGAGTCATTATTTTCAGAGTCTACAATGGCCCATGCAAGAGGATACTGATGGAAGGCACCATCTTGTGCTGTGGCAATTAGTAAAACACCTTTTTCAAGTGTTTTGCAGAACGTGCCATCAACAGAGATTACTTGTCTGAGGAACTTAAAACCTGAAGTACACGCGTGAAAGGCTATGAAGACATACTTAAAACAACCATCATCATCGACCTCTAGATTAGTGTATACTCTTCCATTGTTTGCCTCCTTCAACACGTGCAGATATAAAGGAAGTTTCGCATAGTTGTCGCATGGTTTCCCATACAACTTTTCGTTTGCAAATTTCCTACCTAGCCAAGCCTTTGTATATGTTATGGGCATGCTCTTATTTTGCATAAGTGTCATGATTGTCTTTGGCTTAATGTGTTCCCGAGAACC